CAGTTGATTCTGAATTTTTATTTTTATTTGCTAATCAGAAAAAAATGAAGCGGCGAATCCGTTAACCAAGAAATTAAATTGGTGTGGCCTAAAAATAAAAAAATCAGAATCAACTGCAAAATGCTTTTCATCCTAGTTGTTACAGTTATTCCATCTTTCAATGCAGTGGTATCATTAAAAGTTCAAAATTCATTGTTTAAATTTTAAACCAGGCTGGTGTGTTGACTTCATGGCTCCTATACCATTTTGGGCCATAATAGGATGCCTAGGCCTGTTTTTATTTTTATTTTTTTGCCCGCCCGCTCCATTATTTTTCTAGAAAAATCCATTAACCAAGAAATTAAATTGGTGTGGCCTAACAATGATTTTATTTTTTCAGGACTAGCACAGCAGTTGTAACAACAAGAAGCAGCATTAGGCCTAGGGAAAAAAAGGTTTGTGTTTCCTGCTTCCTGACTGACCATAGAAAAATCTGCTGACCCTAGCCTTTTTTGTGTGGACCCCTCCAACTAAGTTCAAGGCAGTGCCTTGTCATTAATTTTTTCGAGCTGATCAACCTTTTGTAGCTCCATGATCTGACACCTGAGTGATATAACATTGTATAATAATTGGTTTTCCAACATTGATATTAAAAATGCAAATGTCCTAACGAAAGTTTTACTTTGTTGAACTGTATTGTATAAGTTAGATTACTAGAGATTACCCAAAGTCGATATAAAAAAGAAAGAAAAAAATTGTAAGATAATCCCTACCTACCGGCCCTCATTTTTTCAGTAGCTGGACTGAAACTAAACAAGAAACAACATTTTTTCCTAAGCCTAGATCTCAATAACTAGATAGACAAAGTATGAAAGTATTACTACTTACCGATGAGTACCTCCTCCTTGGTAGCAGGGTTGACTACAGGAATGACAGGGTTTTCCACATCCTCCCAGTCCCTGGGTACGTCTGTGTGGGTAGAGATGTCAGGTACAGACTCCTGTTGGAGGGGCTGCTGTGTCTTCGTAGCTCCTACTAGTAGGGAACAAAGGAAACAAAATATATCTATCCACTGTATGTATCCTAAAGGCTATGTACACAATGAAAGAATGTGATCTCCATCCAGTTTTAGCTCATTGAAGACCTATTTTTTTTACTTTTGACAAATACTTATACCAAAACACACAACTTAAGTTCAGCTACACTGGGGAGCTTTCGAGACACACTCTGTCTCCTCTTCAACCCGGTTAAGATCTCGTCTTAACTTAAAAGTTCAAGTTCTCTTGTCACGTGACTTGATGTGATAATCACGTGACAAGGGCTCACCCCTTGCTCTGTGGTGGTAACAAGATTTTGTTGTGGGTAGTGCTGCATACCTAAACCCAATTTTAGAATCAGGTCCGGATTCAAGTCCAGAGGTTTAGGTTCAGTTCCGGACTTGTAAGTCTGGACCTAAACCCATGGCATATACAAAATAGCATGTTGGCAACCTTGCAATGTTGTCTGGGTGAAACTTTGGCTACATAACATGGAGGCCGGTACTTGATGATGCCTGATGGCAATGTATTCTTCATTTTGCAGCAAAGATTTTGCAAATGTACGGAAGGTTTTAGCTGGTTTGGAAAGAAAAGGGGTACTAGTATGTGAAATGGTCTTTTATGGTAATAAGTCCGGACTCGGTTCTTGACTTTTAGGTTTTTTTGGACTTGAACCTAAACATTCTTACAAGTCTGGATCCAAGTCCAGTGAACCGGTATGCAGCACTAGTTGTGGGCGAGTATGCATTGATTCAAATTATGTTCTCATTCCTTTGTTCCACTAAGTATTGAGTGAGATCTTTTCTTTGTAGTCATTATTTAATCATTTAATTGAAAGGAATCATATTTTGTTGAGTGAATATTGATTCATTTGTTATTCATATTTTTTGTTCTTATTGTCAGTTCAAATATTTGTTTACTGTTCTGGTACTTCAATTTTGTATTTATTGGAAAGTACATCAATTATTACTTTCATTTACTTTCATTTCAAACATATTATTTCTATTATTTGACCTCTGATCTCCAATTCACTTTTTTCTCTATGATTGATTCTGTTTCAAGTTTGTTATAATTTCAGTATGATTTGTATGTTTTATTTATTATTATTGCTAAAAGCAATTATTATTATTATTATTGTTATTTCATTGTATGCTGCGGACTCCTGGAAGAGTAGTATGGAGTTGACTTCCATACTAATGGAGATCTAAATAAACAAACAAACAAACAAACAAACAAAGAGACAGTCATATACAAGATTTTTTACTAAAACAATTTCAGAGGTGCATACTTAAGTGCATTTCAGAGGTGAGTACCTTTTCTGGGTCTACTCTTCCCTTTAGTTATTTGCGTCTTCCTGGGCCTGGCTCCGTAGTCCTTGGCATCTGGCCTCTTGATGTCCACCATGACTCTACCGGAGTCTCTCCTCTCGTACACCACGCGCTCATGCGCCCACCAAGCCACGGGACGCGCTCGGTTCCTGCACGATCTACGCACTCCTGGGGTCTTGTCCTTACGCGGTGCAACTGCAAAACAGGCAAAAAGTTCATTTCATTTTTTTACCTTCATCATGGTTTTCCAAGAACAAACTGCATAATATTTCCCTCTCCCCAAATACAGGAACTCCTTTTAACGTCCTATCCAAGGGACGTCCCTAACCGAAGCTAGGTACTCATTAATTCACCCAAGTGAATTTTTTGAGCTGATCAACCTTTTGCAGCTCCATGATCTGACACCTGAGTGATGAAACGTTACATACAATCAGTTTTCCAACATTGATATCGAAAATAAAAGTGTCCTCATGCAAGTTTATTGTATAAGTTGGATCACTAGAGATCGCCACAGCCTAAAAGAAAAGAAGAAAAAAAAGATCTCTACCTACTGACCCTAATTTTTTTCAGGACGGAAACAGGAAACATGACATTTCTTCCTAGGCGTTAGCATCCAAGTTACTTACTGATGTGGGCCTGTCTGGCACTATCTGCTGGGCCCTTCTTTGAAGCCGACTTTGACTGCGTGACGTTGGCGTAGTGTTTAGGAGACGTGACGGAGGCCCGCGGCAGCGTGGAAGTCGAGGACCGTGGTGTGTGGTTCTTACCTCCCTTCAAGATCGAACGCAACGGTGTCGCTGTAACAGATTAAGAAAAAAGTTCTTTTAGTGTCAATAAAAGACATTCATTTGAATGCAACAACCAGTAGTCTTCTTTTCAGTTGCTTTTGGTAAAGTTTTACAATCACAAGGACACCGAAAGTACCATGAACATTTTTAAACAGTGGTAGAAATGCTTTTTTTAGTGTTCTGCAATATTGCAGAATGTCACAATATTGTTCTGCAATTTGGAAATAATTTCTGCAAATATACACTTTTAAGCCCTGACTGAAACCCATACAAAACTGCATGTTGGCAAACATTTTATACACAATTTGAAAAACACAAGCATAACTTAGTATTTCATAAAGTCAGTAGTAAGCGCAAAAGCTCCAAAGCAATATATCATACAGACACAATTGAACCCCTATCTTATTTCAGTCTGCAAAGTTGCAGGTTGCTTAATTTGTCTTAATTTGCAAAATTTTAACTGTTTAATAAATTGCTTTTGTTTGTTTCGCATAACCAGTAAACCGCCCTTAGGCATAACACACCAGTTTTGTACATGTAGGTACAACTTGCGTAAGACCGGACTGTAAGGTTTGAACCACTCACACCGGGAAGGTCTCTTACTCTTTCGGTGGGTTCTTTAACGTGTGTGGGGTGTGGCTCTCCCCAAACACGGGACCTCCATTTAACGTCCTATCCGAGGGACGTCCCTAACTGAAGCTAGGTACCCATTAATTCACCTGAGTGAAGTGAGCAAAGTCGTGTAAAGTGCCTTTCCCAAGGGCACAAGATTGGTGACAAGGTGGGGTTCGAACCCGGGACCTCTTGGTTCCAAGCTGAAGATGCTACCGCTACACCACACAACCCCACACATATGCTTCTTGTGAAGCAGAGTAAGATGGCTACACAGTGTTCGAAATACCTGCCTGCAGTCTGCAATCTGCAGATAGATTTTCAAGATTGCAGAAGAAAAAATTATACAATCTGCAATTTTGCAGAAGGAAAAATAGGCTCCAGATTCATTAGTTTTCAATTTAGCAAACTAAAACTCCCAGGCCCCAGGGACAGACTGTTCTGAAACAACAGGAACTTCTTCACTAATTTGCATCTTCCTTGTCTTGACTTGTCTAACTTTGGTTCCTTTTGGACTTCCAAAAAATTGTCTTCACTAATTTGCATATCAATCCATAGTTTATGCTTATAAACCTGAAATTCTCCTGCAGTCCAGTAATGCTACTGTACAGATTTACAAAGCTATATATGATGCATAAAAGGAATTATTGGTTTGAGAAGGTTGTAATATGGAGGCTTGTGTATTTGCAGAAAGTATTTCCAATTTGCAGAACAAATTTTTGACTCTTCTGCAATATTGCAGAGTACTGAAAAAAAGTATTTCGACCACTGCTACAGTTAGCATACCTGATACAGGGAGATCATCACCACTTGACAGTGTTTTGTCAGAGTTGTCCTCTGTAGAACTAGCTGCCTGTCTTTGTTTTCCCATCCTCTTGCCAGCTTTCTTGGCTCTTTTCTTCTTCGGTTCTGTGTTTTCTTCAGGGCCTGCTGACACGTTGGCCTCTGACTGAATCTAAATATATGAAAATGTACACAAAGTTAGTAAACAGAGTCAGGAAATAAAAGAAGACAAGTGATGCATCAGACTACAGGTGGTCATGACAACAACAACAAAAATACTCAAGAGGTAGAAAAGGAAACATTAAAAAAGGTATTTCTAACCCTTATTTGCTGACTTTTTATTTATCTATTCAACTACAATTTACCACACGGTGGATGGTATGGAACACATTTTCACAGCCACCATACCAAATAACTTTGAGGTAACTCAGCAGTTCTTTAAAATAAACAGACAGTGGTAAAAACTGACCTCTCTACTTTCATTAGAAGACTGGGCAGTTTGGGGTGCCTTCCTGGGACGCCCTCTCTTCCTCCTACGCACTTTACCATCACTTGTCGCGCTCTCTTGTGCTGTTTGAGAACTCAGATCAAACACTGGTACATCCTCCTCCACAGCAGTTAGACTGTTGTCAGGGCCCTTCTCCACAGGACTACTGGCTTCCTGTCTTTGCTTCCCTGGCCTCTTGGGAGCTGAGCGACTTTCTTTGGCCTTGCTGGCCCTCCTTTCTCTTAGGTTCTGTGTTTTCTTGATGACTTTCTGCAGCTGAGTTTGCTTCCAACTGGACCTGTGTGAACAGAAGATGAGATTGGGAAGAAGTGAGTTACGATGCAGCAGGATCAGTATTTCACACTTGTAACTTCTAGGAAAAAATTGCCACCACATACATGTACCCTTGAATTTTACATTAGGCCACACTTATTTTATGGATGACATCCGTTTCGCCTGCTCTCAAAAAAAGATCACGTCCTCAAGAGGCTCTTGCCTAGGTGCCATCCTAACGTAGTCCATGGTAGCTAGTAACAGTAGGGAGCTGTTGGTAACTATGGAGGAATCTCAGGATGGCACCCAGGCTGCTGAAGCTCCATGACTCAAGAACTCAGTACAATTACGTACAGTGCCAATTCATGCATTCCGCAAAAGGTCAGCATGTGCCGGGCTTGTCGTAAAAGTCGCTATGTACTACCGCAAATTCACAATACCAGCTTTGCATTCCTGTGGTTTAGCAGTATTTTTTTGGCTGCAATTTTTTTTATTCCTCTGCGCACAGTAGTTTGGGGGTCTTCAGAGGATGTCATTCCTACAATTAAAGTCAGTGTGGCCTCATAACTAGATAAGAGAAAGATACAGAAATGTATCAAATGGCAGAAATACTGACCTCACTGCTTTCATCCAAGAACTGTGAGGACAGATCTTTCCTTGCTTGCCCTCTCTTCTTCTTCTGAACCTTGCCATCACTTGCTGAGCTGTCTTGACCAGACTGTGACCTCTGACCCCCTGACCTTCACCCTCTGGCATTTGACCTCTCCTTGGGTTGAGGCTTGAACTTTTTCTGAACCTGTGCTGTTTCTGACGACGTCCCTGGCTTTTGAGACCTGGTCTTGGTTAGCAGCTTCGGCGAAGGCTGGACAGGAATTTCTTCATCTTCTGCCTCTTTTCTATCTGAGGGCAGAACCAAATCTTGAAGACCACTGTGGTTAAAACTGTCACCATCAGCCTCGTGATGTAACTTCAACTTCCACACTTGGTCCCTCCCTCTGTACATCATCCACCACTGTGTCCAGCCTACACTCCTGAGTTTCTGGTTGTTCTTGTCTCATCTCCAAGTCCTTCGCACTCTGCTTTGAGCCGCTCATACTTTCTGGCTGAATTTCAGAGTCCACGTCCTTGTTCTTCTTTCCAGCGCTCTTTCTTGGTCGCCCTTTTTTCTTGTTCTTGGCCGTCTCATCATTTTGGCCATCTCCTTTCGCCTTCTTTGCAGGCTGCTGAGTTGTGTTCTTGGTTCTTATCTGGCCTGCATTAGGCTCTTTAGTGGCCTGGCTCTCAGTACTGGTGTTCTGCCTGTTGGTCAGATTTACTCTAAATCTCTTCATACAGAAAAGATCATCATCTTCATCATCTGAGTCAACCATCTCGACCACCAATGGCTGCTTCTTAACTCCAGGCACCTTCTTTGGGACTGTTTTGTCCTGATCTTTCTGCTTCTTGCTGGCTCTTGAGGATTCTTCTTCCTCTTGCTTCCTCCTACGCACTTCACCATCACTTGTCGCGCTCTCTTGTGCTGTTTGAGAACTCAGATCAAACACTGGTACATCCTCCTCCACAGCAGTTAGACTGTTGTCAGGGCCCTTCTCCACAGGACTACTGGCTTCCTGTCTTTGCTTCCCTGGCCTCTTGGGAGCTGAGCAACTTTCTTTGGCCTTGCTGGCCCTCCTTCTCTTAGGTTCTGTGTTTTCTTGATGACTTTCTGCAGCTGAGTTTGCTT